AGATTTAAGGTTATTAGGTTTAGTTGATTGAGAATTATTAAATAAAAATGGTATATAATATGAAGAGCACTGTCATATGTTGCACCATAGGTTTTAAATGGAAACCTTATATATACACAAAAATCTGACATCCATACGTAACTTTGGGATTTTACTGTCATAGATATCATCAACAGGTCAACGACCATTCAAAGATCAGTCACATGATCATGCTCTTGCAATCAGATCCGAGGCCTAATTTTTCGGATAATACTCCCAAAATGTTATATTGGGAATGCACAAATGGTGATCCTGGAAAAAAGACTAACAGCAGAATGATGATGAAATTCTGAACCTAATTATTCTGAAGAACAGCTTGGATAAATTAAGGATGATGAAGATAATATTTGAACAATTACAACAACTGTTCATCCAAATGCAAGCAGATTATTGAGTTTTACAATCTTCCTCGGCCTGTTAATTCACAAATCATTGGTAATTGTTATTTAATTACTTGTTTAATATTAAACTTAATATTAATGATATTTCTATTTATCAATGTTTTATAGATTCTAATGAACTTGATTATATAAGATGAATAAATTTAATGAAGCTTTAAGTGACATCAATAAATCTTTGGAATTAGATGAGAATACAAATTCATATGAATTAAGAGCTTCAATTTATGAGAAACTTGGTGATCATAAGAATGTTATATTGGATTTAAGTAAAGTGTTTGAAGTAAATCCTAAAGATAAAGGTGTATTGTTTCGTAGAGCAAAAATTTATGAGTCACAAGGACAATATTATGATGCATTAAATGATTGGAGCCAATTGGTAAAATTAGAATCCAAGAATTTGGAATATTTGAAGGATCGGGCTAGATTGTTATTGACATTATGTAGATATGAAATCTTAAAACTTCAACCAGGAAATCAAATTATCATTTGCAAAAGGTTGGAAATTTATCAATATTTTAATAAGACAGATGAAGCAATTGAAGAATTGACAAAACTAATTGATAGCACAATAGATAAAGAATTATTTTGTGTTACAAGAGGAGTTCTTTATTATTCTAAAGGAAATCAAGAAACAGCATTGGAAGATTTTGATAAGGTATTAGGATTAGGAAAGGCAAAACCAAAGGAACAAATTACATATACAAAAGACCAGCTTAAGGCATTATGTTATCGTGGATGTATTAATCACTCATTGATAGATTTGAATGTAGTGTTAGAAAATGAACCTGATAACATTTTAGCATTATGTGAACGAAGTTCTATTTACAGAGATCGTAATGATCATGATGGAGCTTGGAAAGATTTAAAAACCGTTTTAAACAATGAACTTAATTCCTCTAGTCAGTATATACTTGTCAATTAACAATCTATTTATTAAATGGATATTATCTGTTATATATATTATATATTATATAAACATGTGCATGTGCATATGTATGATGAGTTATGTATATTGTTGTATAGAT